GTTACCACTATCATCATCAATCAGCAATAGTGGGTTTGGAGAGTGTTTTAGAACACTCAAGAGTGCAGCGCCCTCAATTATTTCTCATTCTATAGAGAGAGTGTGTCTGAACAAGAAAGAGAGAGAGAGAGAGAGAGACTAAATGATGTTATCTAGGATTTCATGTTTTTTTTACTTTCTAACACTTGGAAATGGTTTGGGCTGTCAGCGGGAAAAAGTGAATAAAAGGGCGCCTTACTTGAAAATTCTGGAAAATTATAGCGAGAGTGCTATAACGGGAATTCAATTTTCCTTGCTAAAATTTTATTTAGTACGAAAAATAAAAAATTTCTGGCTACTATTTTGGTGGGAAGGAAAAATAATTTCCACTAAACCTACAACAAGATAATATATTTTCCTCACTAGCATTATGTACAACAACAAAAATATTTCCTCACATAAAGAATATTTTTCTCACTGTTTCTTTGACATGTGTGGAGATCAAACTGAACTCAATTTTTGCGAGAACTCAAAATTTTCCTTGCTGAAATGTACTCTACAGCGAGGACAGTTTGTTGTAGTACGTATGTTCGAAGGTCAAAGTTGCTCAGTGATACAAAGGGCTGCCCCTTGTTAAATGTGCACAAGCAACATAACATCCTTCATCATTGTTGCCTACTCTCCACAATATTCAAGACCGCACATCTGAACCTGGATTATCAAAAGTTCACAAGGAACGAAGCCAAGATGTCACACATATGAAGAAAGAAAACGGTATGTATTTTGACTTACTTAGAAAGGCATAGTCTTTGGGTAACTGTCTATCCTCAATAGGAACAAGTCTTTTCAGATACATAGTTACGAGTAATTGTGGGATCCTAATTTTCCAGGGCTGGAGTAAGACGAATTGGAATACGCACACCTCAAAAGTTCAATCATGGACTCAACAGCATCCACCGCGAAGCTAACTAAATGAAGCAATGATGCCACCATCATCCTGTTTCAGATTCAGTGGGCGAAGTCCAACGACTTTGCTAAAATTGATCATGATTGCTCCCCAAGGTACGAAAACCTAATCTAGTAAGGAATCAACATATTTCCTATAATCTTAAGAGTCTTTACAATCTAAGGATCAGCGTGCGTCGCAAATAATCACACTCCTAAGAGGATGCAATATCGACTTCCTAGATATCCTCTGGGATTCTCCCGGTTTAATAAGGATTTTACTATCCTATACGGTCCTCTCCTCAATTGGTATAAATACACCTTCTAAGGTTCATTTTTGGTACGCAATCCCTGTACACTTATTCTTACTTACGATTGTGTATTCTTTTACAGGTAAGTGAGTTTGAGAATCTCTATCTTTTACGGCGGTGTGCAAAGTTGGTTCCAACATTATGCTTGGTGCAAAAGTTTTCATAACTTACTTATTTGATGAGGATAAGGATTTGATTTCCTTGCCTATTAGGATTTAGATTTTACTTCCTATTACGACTCTCATTGTATAAGTCATATACTCTATAAATAGGGCTTTAGGGTTAGTTTATTTTGGTGTGGCTTATTTCATTGGCAAACTTGTGAGAGTCAATTTGTGAGTTTGAGAGTTAGAGAACAATTTGGGAGAATCTCTTCCTATTATTTTGGGTTCTCTACTCATTAAAGTTTGTAATTTATGGCATTTAGTGTGTGAGTGTTAAACACTCTTTTGTAATCTTTGTTGGTTTAATAAAATTCTTTTTCGTGTTTCGTCTGTGGACGTAGGCTTGTACGCCGAACCACGTAAATATTTTGTGTTATTTTGAGATTGTTTGTTTCTTCACTTTCACCTACAATATTAATATTTGGTACTTTGTTAGAATTCGCTTTTGCCTGTGGATGTAGGCTTTTACATCAAACCACATAAATATTTAGTGTTATTTTGAGATTGTTTGTTTCTTTGCTTTCTCCTATAGTATTGATATTTAATACTTTGTTAGAGTTCTCTTTCGCTTGCGCATAAAAGTACAACATCGCCCAAGAGAAAATTCATGGACCCGCTCATACCTCCTCATCCCTATTACCACACATACCAACATAGCCTCACAAGTTGCTTCACTTCTACCAATGCTATCACGAACCACCCAATCACACCACCATCGTCTCAACTTGGCTACCCATATTTGCCGGCCTCATGACCCTAATTTATGCATTTGTTATTATAGGTGTTGGTCTTGCGACCTTTCACAAGAAAGCCCTAATACACTCTCTAACCCTAATAGAATTCACAAAATTTACTCTCCTTCTAGCTACTAGCCTCCAACTCATTCTTGAGCCTGTCATTCTCCTTCTTATTCCCCCTCCCCCCCCCCCCGATTTTTCTTCCCTGGAACTGCGATGGCCTCGATTCTCGTCATGCATCGGTGGAGCAACCTACCATTTATAAGTGGTGTGGATGAAGCTTTGTCTTTCGCCTTTTTGCCCATGTTTCAAGGTCTTATTCCTCTGATTTGGGGCTTTTGGCTAGATTTGGGGGCTTTGCGCTCAAAATCTTCCAAAACTTCAAATCAGCCCTCCAACCTCTCACACCCACCACGTTCATCCTTTCCAGATCAAAGACAACTATATGGTGTCACCCATACAAAAGGTCTGGTGTCTCTTTGAATTAGTGTTTACACCCTCTGACCTTTTTTGTTACTACTTGGTTCTAGACATTCACATGCCTATTGTGTGTTTGTGTTCTGCTGAGGACAAGAACTGTGGTGGCTGGAATGGGTATGGTTCTTCCTGATTCACAGATTTGGCTCTTTTTTACCGGTGTTGTGACATCGATGGGTTTGCGTATTGCTATCTACAAAGGTTTCTCTTGGTTTTCCTGTTCGCTAGTTGTCTCCACCAATTATGATGTGGTTGAGGTGTGTGAATCTCGTTTTAGGGTTATTAGGTTTTTATGCGGGTTTACTTTTTGTGTGGGCCTTGGCTTTTGGGCCGAGACACACTCTTTATAATTTTTTGTTTAAGGCATTGATGGGAACCTTTATTTATGTGATGAATGCATAAATGACGTCCTGTTTGTACCTACCCCATTTATGAGGCTATTGTTTTATTTTGCTCATTTTCATTTGCGAAGTCTGTACTGTGTCTGTTTGGACTTTGTTATAAAATTTCCCATTGACCAAAAAAAAAAAAACTTAGGCCACCCTTTCACCAACACAATTAACCTTCAACACCCTTTTTTAATGCCACTTATCTAACAACATCTCATTGTCCCTGATGTTACTCGAACATCCATTCATAGCCCCTCACATCAAACAAAAAATAAACAGATAAAAAACCATGCTTTCAGACCAAAAAAAAAACAAAAAAAACCATGTTTTTCATGTGTTTAGTACCGTTTGGTACGTGGGATGAGACGGAACGGAGTGGGACAAGACGTTCCGTCCCATGTTTGGTTCGCCTAAAGCGGGTGGAACGCACTGTTCCACGGAACAAATTTTTGATGAATTTTCGTTCCGCCTCACCCCCCTGGAACGACTCGTTCCACATCTGTGAAACACAAAATTATAACCTCTCCGTCTCCTTCTTCTTCCTTCTTGTTTCCGTCTGAGGGCATCTTTACTCCCTCTCCGTTCCGTCTCATCCTGTCCCATCCCGTCCCGTTCCGTTCCGTTCCGTCTCGTCCCATCTGCATACCAAACGATACCTTGGGATATCATTCAAATATGCTTTCATGTGTGTGGGTGTGTATATTTATCTATTGATTTTTTATTTTTTATAAAGTTTTGCATGCTTTTGACCAAAACAAAAGCATGCTTGAAAGTTCTACAACTTTTTCCAAAGTAAATAAACCATTCAAGTTCCTCGCCGTAAATAACGAAGCTGCGATCAAAACCGTATGGGGAGGAATGTCCGCTCTCTCATTGGCTGCTGCACTTATAAGATCCAAACCAAATTAATTTATTTTATTTTGGTCAGATCAAACAGCAGTGTCGCATTCTGTGATTGCAACCAAGCAAATACTATAGAAGTGTCGAGAGTAATCTAGGACTAATGATTTTTACACTCAATATACCATGAAAAAACAAGAAGAAGATTTTTAAACTCTAGTTTTGACAAAAGATAGTCCATCTAATATCTATTAAGATAGTCATTTAGTACTACGATATAGTGATATTTTATTTTACTTGTAAGTGAGAAGTTTTAGACTTGATTCTCGTCAAATGCGAGTTTAAACTATATTATTTTTAGCATATTGTGAGACTTAGTCAAACCTTTTTCTTTAGTATATAATATCGTTTGTTAAAAAAAACAAAAGTTAACCTCAGTAGAAAAAAATCCATGAAGAAAACCTCATAATCACACATGACACAATATATATATATATATATACACACACACCTTTAAAGGAAGGGATTCCCATTTTTTTTTAAATAAGGATTATTTGTAGGGTCCACATCATATCGAACTTTAACGATCCGAATCTTCTATTTTTCAAGTTGTACCTCATAGATTATATTTGCAAAATATTAGCCAAATCCAAAATGTTTAAGATATCTAATTGAATTTGAAGAAATTAACGAAGATTTTGTTATATAAGAAGCAATGAAATTTTATCTTGAAAATTAAATAAGTAAATGATTTCAGATTAAATTAAATTTTTACATGATGAACTATGAAATGCAACTTGAAAAATATACGGTTCGAATTATTAAAATTCAATATCGTATAGATCCCACAACTAATTCTTATTTTCATTAAAAAAAAAAAAAAAAAAAAAAAAAAAAAGAGCCAATGCCAACTACACCATACCCGACATTGTTCTTATCTTCATCATTACAAGAGTGGCAAGTGGTATGGGCCAACCTGTGTCATTACACCAAATGACTAAATCATCCCCCGAGAAAAAAAAAGGAAATTTAAAGAAAATGACAAAAAAAATGTAATTGATAATAAAAACATAAAAAATATAAATATAATTTTTCTTTAAAATTAAATATTACCGATAATGTTAAAACACCGAAAAAGAAATCAATGTGTCCACAATGGACAAAATAGCATGTTATGTTCTACCATAAAAGGCTCCTTATACCACTCGCGGCTCGCCCAACCAAGTTTACCCTTCTTCGCAAAAATGGCATCCACCAACTCCGTCAACGGTCTCTTCATCTCCTTCCTCCTCTCCCTCTTCCTCACCCTCGCCTTCTCCGACGTAAGTTTCCATTTTCTTCTCCTTAACTCTGATTAAATTTTGGTGTTTGATGTTAGTTTGCAAGTGTACATATCTATCTATATATATGTGTGTGTGTGTGGGTCTGCAGGACCCGGATTGCGTGTACACGGCGTACGTTAGGACGGGGTCGATCATAAAGGCTGGGACGGACTCCACCGTCAACCTCCGGCTGTACGACGCGTACGGATACGGCATCGAGATCAGGAACCTCGAAGCCTGGGGTGGCTTGATGGGCCCCGGCTACAACTACTTCGAGAGGGGCAATCTCGACATCTTCAGCGGGCGAGGTCCCTGCCTCCGGTCATCGATCTGCGCTCTCAACCTCACCTCGGACGGCTCCGGCCCCAACCACGGCTGGTACGTTAACTACGTCGAGGTGACCTCCACTGGGGCCCATGTTCCTTGCAATCAACAGCTATTCACCATCGAGCAGTGGCTCGCCACGGATACGTCGCCCTACGAGCTAACCGCCGTCAGGAACTACTGTAATTCCGACATCGAGGGTGCTGAGAAACGGGGACGTACTGAGCACCGGATGATCCGGTCCGGTTCGATCGGTTTGGTTTCTACTGTTTAAGTTATGTTTGGATGCGAGGTTATTGAGTTGTTAGTTGGTGTGGTTGTCCAAATCCGTGTTTGATCAGGTGCGCGGTGGTGTGAAGTTTAGTCGTGGTTATCAAGATCCGTGTATGTTCAGGTGTGTTCAGACTAATATGATTTGGCCAAAATAAAAAAAAATATGAATTTTATTAGTAAGATATTCGGATCTGTGATCTGTAAAGGATAATGTGAATGAGGTAATTTGGAATTTCTGTTTGGCTGTCTTGGGATGTCGGTGGGATCCGGATTAGTAAAAGACTCTTGCAATTTGTTTTGCTGTCTTAAAGAGTTATTAATGCACGCTGCCCACCAATTATTGGTTTCTTGCGAGGACCATGCCAGACCAATTTTAATTATTAATGCACGGTGCGCATCCTTCCATTCTTCTTTTTATTTTTTTAATACGAGGGTACTACTTTTTATATTAATGTTAATTATGAATGAGACATGGTTGCATATGGTCTCTCCGATGAAGTAGGCAAATACAAAGTCAAAACAATTTTGATGAGCCATGTAGGCAATGTTGCCTACTTTCAATATTATAGGCAAATAGAATTCCACTTCTCTATTTATTATAAAATATTTTAAGTAGAGGAAGAATGTAAAAAAAAAAGGATAAAGTCAGATTGTGTTGTATGTATAATTTACTGAATAATTATGGATGCCAGAAAATAGAGGAGTGCGGCAATAGTAGAAAGAAAGAGAGAAATGTTTAATTGTAAGGTGTGTTCTATTCCATCACATTATGTCTTTATTTATAGTAGTAAGGAATAGCATTTCTTACCCTTTAGGATTACAACATTTAATAAGTAATATACTCCTAATAGGAATATGAGAGATATTCCAAGATATACTAGGATTTAAACAATCACATTCAGAATCTAATAGGACTGCAACACTCCCCCTTGAGTGTGTAAATACTCAAGTAAATAATGCATCAAGTCTTCAGTGATGAAGTAAGTACAGTTAATGAAGTCGTCAGTACAATGAGCAAATGCGGGTCTCAAATCAATGGAAGAATGCATAAAAAGTAAAACTCATAAAACCTCACTATGGTAAAACCCAAGGTGGGAGAAAAACTCATAGTTTAAGGAGAAAAGTGAGAAGTTGCATTAAGTCAAAACTATACGTCTTTTGGACGCAAGTAAAAGAGCTCACAAGGGTATGATCATCCAAGGATGGGTGTCTCGTTAAAACCTAGTTAAGTAGCAAAAACCCAGTTGGAAAAATGCTCATAATCGTAGAGAAAAAGAGTACATTAAGATCAAGTGAGTACAATTTTGGATACTCCCCCTGAGTTTGACATATCTTCCAAATGAGAACTACAAGCATTGCATATGAATAGTTAGGCATACCAATTCCTTGGACAAGCTTCTAGAAGGTTGACTTCGGTAGTGACGTCATGTAAAGGTCGGCAAGGTTGTCTGGGATTGGCTTGCATGACTTCAATATCCTGATGCTTTGCTAATGTAGATATGGACGCAATATGTCTTGGCGTTGACTTCATTGATGGATCACGGCTTCGTCGGGTTGATACATGCGGCATAATCTTCATGGATCGTCATCGGGACTCAACGATGGATGAAAACACAGCAAGTACTTCGAAATATGCTCAACAAGAACTCCTAACAATGTCTCACTTGTGGCGTAGTGAAGTGAGGTGAGTCCTGGAACGATTCGAAGATTTCGCAACTAAGGTCATATCATGGACCTTCAAGACATTGCGAAATCCCTTAACGGTAAAGACATAACCATTCTAGGGATTGTGCCTTGTGTGGGTTTGATAAATAACCTGCATTAGCATAATAAACAAGGCAATCATCATTTCGAGGATCAGGGGGTTGGATCCGCTCGAGATGCATTGGGATTTGCCCATGTAGTACCTTTAGGGTACATCTTTAATATAAATTCAGTGGCTGCGTGTAGGCGCGATGCTGCATCTTGACCAAGATCAACAAGAAAGGAGATGTCATGTCTAAATACAATGGACTAAGTACAACGAAGCGCAAAGTTGAACTTAGATATGGAATTTCAGATTCCATAACCTCTTCAAGGGTCTTATTTGCATATAACGTATGGATGATCAAAGGTATACTTAAAGGTGACACATTTAAGGTGTAGTTCGACTGGTAGACCAAAATACCATCAGAACAATGCTTTAACTTTAGGTTAAGGCATAAACGAGTTTTCCAAAGATCCTTCATCTCAAATTCCATCTTCAGGTGCGAGGCAGTTTTCTCCAGCTCTTCTGGAGTCTTAGTGAGATTCGTGTTAACGACATAAACTGTAACTCTAGTGATTTGGAATAAGACTTCATAGTTTAACACACAAGGGCATAATTAATATCCCTGACTGATCAAATAATCACTTAGACGAGTACACCACATCCGTCAGATTGTAAATGAACGCCTCAAACAAGTTAAAAGGGTGTTCCGTGGTTTTGGAACTATTTGAACCAGTCAATGTAATTCTTTAGGAATTTACATGTAAATCTCCGTATCTATATCCCTATGGAGAAACATTAACCACATTTCATAATACTGCTATCAATCACAAGACGTTTAAGAAAAACCTTGCGCCATAAGGCGTTCATCATATCGTACTATTTCATTCATCCCATAACGCTTCCTTTCCCACTTGTAACATAATAGGGTTACATTGGGCAGTGTAGGAATGACAGGTCCAATACACACTTTGGTAAGGAATTTGACCTAGATTATAATTTTAGTTGTCCAATTAGTTCTACGTTGTCACTTAATCAACGAAACACGGCTCGATATCATCATTTTTCATTTATGTCGATAGCTACCATATAAGTGAAAACATCATCGATGGTAATCTCATTTCAATTCCATTTAGCTCATCCAAACTAGTATATTGGACCAAAAACTTCAAGTCTCGGGAGTAATCCAGATTAATCTCATGAGATGGAAATGATTTGAGACAGTGATCAAGTTTAGATTCATTGTTGTGTTGTGTCTTCCTCTTATAGGGAAGTGAATCCTATGAACCGAGTGATCTATAGTGCTTCGATCCAAGATAGATTGATTGGTTATCTGCCAGTGTACCGAACCGTCTAACAGGGGTGTCCAAACCGTCCAACAGGGGCGACACACCTTCCAGGGATGTTGACTCGACGTCCGTTAAGTACGTATATCCTTGCAAGCATATTTGCTGCTGGTATATTATCTCGTCACTTTAGCTAGATCAGAGGAATGTGCCTAGAGCAACATTTTGAAATCTAGAATTCATCACATTATTTATCACACTTGTGCGATATGGGGATTGAGATGAGACATAGTGGACAACGTCCATGCAACTTTGCGTCATTCTACAGGAACATTGACGTTCTTATCTCCCCCTAACGGAGGGAAGATTGTCTCATTAAAGTGACAACTCGCAGATGATCGGTAAAAAGATTGCATGCGAGGGCTCGAAGAGAGCTAATGTGGAGGAGAATCATGATCGACAAAAGATACACATCATTCTTTGATGACCCATATTGGTATGTTGTAACAGCGCAACTTGGCACATGGAATGCACACCCAAATGCGTAAATACGAAAATCGTCAGGTTCGTACCCAGTAACAAACTATAACGTCAAATAGGTTAAGTGGCAATGAGCCTTAAGGCGGACCAACATAGCTGTGTACAAGATTGCATCGCCTTAGGCAAAAACCGAAAACTTGGTACGTTTACCAAAATCTGGGCGATCATTTAAATTGCGCTTTATGATCACTAGGCGAGGCTATTTGGGGTGAACATGGAACTTCGATGTTCAATTATAAGCCCAAAATACATGCAATACTTTATTGAAAACCGTTGATGTAAACCCTTCGACATTATCCAGTCTCCCGGACCTTAAAGTATAAGTAGGGTGGTGAACCCTTAATCGGCCATGAGGTTTAGCAGCAATGTGTGTGGACAAACATGTGACCAGTTTGTCGATTCATCAACCAAAACCATAAGTATTTATATGGTCTGCATTTTGGTTAGATTAGTCCACATATATTCCCTTGAATCCATTGTGAAAAGAAAGTCGTTTCGTATATTTGCAAGGGATGATTTAGAAAATCAATTTCCCTAATGAGCAGGCTTGGCAAAGTGTGCTTGTAGGCATAAGATCCTTACTTCGGGTAAGGAGATGTGTCGTAACATCATTATTCGACCTAAGTGTCCTAAAAGGTCATGCCAAAGCAAGTAAACTGCTCAATCACCAGGCTCTAGGCTGACCATATGTGGTGTGTTCCTAGTTGGGAGACAACGCATTGGCCCCAAATCAAAGCTTCAGGCTCATTTTTTTTTGGAGGTGGTACAAAGATATTTCACTTTATTTTCTTCAGTGGTTTCATTTATGATTATTGTCATCTCGAATATCCTTAAACTCAACGACAAGGAGAATTTAAGGTCCCTTAAATGGTGATGCAGTACCATTCATACAACGAGGAGCATGCCAATGCTCTTAATTAGGTTGAATAGATCTGAAATCGTTGTTAGAGATGTGATTTAGGTGTAAACTTAGAACGCATTCATCCAGACAACTAACTTTCCCACATTCCTACCTATCATGTGTTTAATTGAATTTGTCACATGTATCAAGAAACATGATTGAATTAACTTATATTTGAGGACAATATTAATAAGATTATCCATAAGTAAAAAATACACCAAACTTGAATCCAAGGACATGGAAAAATGTTCACAAAGTAAATTTACTAAGGGGATTCGGTCAACAAGGCAATCCATGTCAAAATTCTGCTTTTCCAATGATGTTTGGTGGAGTAAAATTAATCTCACATATTGACTATTAGAATGGTACTCCTCAACAACATTGGCAGGGGCATGAACAAGTGCATAACCAATGATCTATTTCGTCGAAATGGAAGTAGATTCTGCAAGGCTAAGGTTTGGGAATACTATCCCTTATTCTTGAAGTTTTAGGTCTTAGATGCCAAGGATCACGCTTTGGGCATGATGCCACACCTTGGTAGTCCCTGATTCTATCATATGCTTGTGGTAGTAATCAGATCCGAGAATTTGGTAAACTTCCACTTTCTACATTACTGCTTCAAGAGCGAGTTAGAAATATGGAAGAACGAGAAAAGCATTCTCTAGTCAAAATTTGATCGGATTTATAGACTTCAGAATTGTACTCATTCATGGACATAATCATGGTGTGCTTCAGGCAATGTCCTTCATAATTAGACGATCCATAGAAGTGAGCCAAAGAGCCATGGAATCCTTGTTCATGAGGTACTTCTGTTGGTAATGCTTCGGGCATAAGTCTTCGAATGAAGATCATGGCGGAGGCTTATTCAGCTTTTCCATGC